GAGGAGTATAGATGAATCATAAGGAAACTATAATTTCCGTGTAAGAAAAATCAAGATAAAAAGATTATGAAAATGAATACAGTATTTATTTATTTTTCTGACTTTTAATCAAAATATTGTTGCGTTGTTTGTATTATTTCACTAACAAAAAAGGATATATATATATATATATTTATGTATCATATTGCAGTATTTTTATTAAAAATAATAGTTTTTTTTTACTATAGAAGGACAATTTAAAATTTAAAACACAACATGGATATGTTATCTAGATCTAAAACTATAGAATTAAAAGCTGAAATATGAAATTATCTTGTGCTATATTGACCCTTTTAAAATTCCAAGAGAAAACAATGAATGTGTATGGCTGGAGCTAAGTTTGACCAACGGGTAGCATAAGTAACACAAATTAATTAGTTGAGCTACCAGGAGACTAAAACTTTCAAGCGTCAAATGTTTTATTGTCATTTTGCAACTTGTTACTGGAGTGGCACAACTGGAAAGTGTAAAACTTGCCATTCTTGTTTTTGATCTTATGTTTAAATTGAGTTCTTGCGACTCAATTTTGATTTTTTGGTGCGATTTTGTTCAGTTTTTTTTTGCCGTTTTAGTTGCTATATATGTTTGTTATTGTTTGCTGTTTATCATTTTCTATTCAGAAACAAATAAGTGATTAATTTAAAAACAGGTATATATAAGGTGCATTTTCAAAACCAAAAGTCAAAAGAACAGAAACACGAATGACAAAATACTGAACTGGAAACAGTTAACAAATGGTTAAAACCTAGCTTTTTGTCAGTCATAAAAATCACAATCATTACACAATAATGATGAATATGAATTACAAAACTGTCGAGAACAGATATTTGGAGAGCAAAATATTTTTTAACAGGTATCTCTATTTTCAGTATAAACCGAAATCGAAACCAAAATCTATACCGTAATCAAAACCAATGATAGTTCGTTGAAAATTTATCTGTAAATGTAATGATCATAATTTCAAATGATCTTAAGCTATCTATTCGTGTTTATTGTTCTTAATCTTAAATCGATTTTGGCTTAGAAAATGAAAACAACACGTTATACAATGTAGCGCTTTTCTGGATTGAAAGTCATTATGAACGCTCAAACCCGTGTATCAGAAAGTCAAAGATGTATTAGAACTGAAATAGATGAGAAGCTATATGAAAAAAGGACCTAAAAATAGACAAATCTATCTAAATTTAACTTTACCTGAGGAAGTTGAAACCTTAGTTTGTTATAATTTCAAAATTTATTAACGGATAATTGTAGAAAAGGTTGTAATTAATCCTGTCAGTACCCATCAATTACTATGATGTTTAGTCGTTTGATTATTTGTTGGTAAAAGTATGACATAATGGGGAAAAACAGTTTTGAAATGAACACATAATAAAGAGGTAAGAGGAACATCGTAATTCAATTTCTGTGATGGAAAGTTGAAATCGTCTCTTAAATAATTACTCTGCAGTTAGTGGTGTACAGGTAATACCTATAGGAGTTCCGATGAATTGACAAAATACAATCTTACCATAAGGAAAGGCAATATTGTCAAGCTAGAAATGATTTTCTTGTAAGTGTATTCAAACAAAATCTTTGATATATTCTCATTTTCAATCAGTAACAAAAGTTTTTTTTTAGCCTGACCACCTTTTTGGTGAATAGCAATATAGTGCCTATCGTTTATATGATTTAGAAACACCCAGAATCTCAAGTTTGAAAAGAAAAATATAGATAAATAAATGTTTCCTGTAAAACTATATAACCAAAATATTACAGAAAATATCTCTTTGTTAGCAGCTGTTTCTAATGACACCATCCCTTAATCATCTTGATACGTGTCTTCCATAATTAATTAGTGAGAATTAAACATGCATAATATAAACACACTTTAAATTATAGTCGAAAGTGAATCTTTTTCAAACGACCCAGGGTTATGTTATCTATTACATGTTGCTGATTGTATTTTTTTTGGATCCAGCCCTGTCCCATTCGTAATGCTATGGTCTACACATGTTCGCCTTTCAACTAATAATATTGTTTTCTTTTAGTACACACAGTTAAATTTTGATTATCAATGTTACAACAAACATCAAAACAAAATACCTAGTACTTATTTAAAAAGTTTCTATATGCTGAGGCACTTATAAATACCGTCATACATATTATAGTTTTTAAATGTAAGTTGTAATTGTAATTCAATCATTGGATTAATCATTGAAAGACATACATAACTTGTTTTCCAGACCAAGTTTATGTCAATATGTTTGTCTATATAGAGCTTATCAGGTATAATACTTGTACAAATCGTTTCTATTGCAAAATCTTGTTTTATCTTACCGCTTTTTGTTCATATGTTTACAATGTCTCTCACTAAGAAGGATACGAAGGCTTGGAGTTAAAACTTGGAAACAGGAATGAAAAATTATGATTAATTAATGTAGGAACTATATATTCAAAATGTGGTTTAAATAACAGTAAAAAAAATCTGACATGAAATATAAAAAACACAAAAACTGTAAAAGAACCTTTATAAATAGATAACAAAACATCAACGACATAAAATTGCCTAGTGTAGCAATATCTGATGCATTCACGTGACGATACTTACATTTAACTCGGTACATCTGAATAAGTAAAAATCAGCTTGTCTGCGGTAACATATGCTAAATATGCTGTACTTTCAAGTAACACAAGCAGAAATGTCATCATCAAAACTTTCAAGATAAATAGTTGTTCTACAAAGTTTTCAAGAGAGGGGTTAACTCAGCTAACATATGGCGGAAGCACTTATGGAACGTTTCAAATATAAATGAAAAAATATAAAGTTTGCTTGTTGTATACTTAAATTATCGTTTTAAACTAAAAAAAAAAAAAAACAATGATCCTGTTATCGTCTCTATATAGATACGTTTGTCTGTTTCTTACCCCCTTAAGTGCGTTCCATTGTCATGCATCTAAGTGATAAATGAGTACAAAATAACTACAGTTGCAAATCACATTTGCCTTTGTATATCTAATTAAATATGTAGTTTTAAATTGTTATAAGACAACACCATAATTTATTGTTAAATTATATCTACACCTTAAATCATTAATATTTAAAAATCGTGTATTAGAACATTAACCATGAAGAAACCTTCAGATGGTCGGAGTCCTAACCTGTACAGAAAGTTACTTGCTAACCAGTCATTTTGACTGGTCAAAGTTAACCCGCGACAGGATTTAGGACTGCTCTGACCAGTCCTAGTACCACGATCAAGTTAACTTGAAAACCGGACTTGGTCCTAGGACTGTTTTTATGACTGCCGAAAAATACAAGTTTCTCCGTCATCTGCCTTTCTTTGAAATCGATATCATATGTATGACGGATCATAATACAAATTCACCTTATTATGATTTGAAATGAGCATGAATATTTTTGTTATTCTTATGAAATTAGTTTACATTATAGAAATTAAGGCACTTGGCAAAACATTTGACAAACAAAAGAGTGTGATTACCTATTACAAGAATTCTTATGTAAAGAAAGAATTGTTTATTCATACAAGTTTTATCATATGCAATGTCAATATATTTTTCAGGTTTACTTGTTTGAATACTTTTTGTTCTTTAGGTTTAGACTTGGATAAAGCAACTTTAAGTATTCTTTGAACCTTCACCATTTAACAAAATCAATACCGTATAGCCAGCTATTATAGGTTCCGGAAGGGCAAAATGAAAGAAAATTCTAACAAGACTAACTCCATGATTAATGCTAAAACAATGAAGAAAAAAATGATTAACAACAACTAACGACAACAACTATATGATAGGTTTCTGTCTTTGGACATGCACATAAGTAATACGGGTGAGTTAAACATGTGCGAACGCTTCTCCTTACCTGGGGGGGGGGGGGGGGGGGGGGGGGGGGGGGCGTTGGAGGGGGTGCTGAAACAACACAGTATAAGAACAAATGTAGTAGCGAGTTAAAAAAGGCTTTACTCATTGAATCGACATAAAGTACGAAAAACAACTTATAATAAACAAATTAGTTTCTTGTGTATAATTTGGAGTTTAGTATGACGTCCATTTTCACTGAACTAGTATACATATTTGTTTAGGGGCCAGCTGAAGGACGCCTCTGGGTGAGGGAGTTTCTCGCTGCATTGAAGACCAATTGGTGGCCTTCGGCTGTTGTCTGCTCTATGGTCGGGTTATTGTCTCTTTGACACATTCCCTATTTCCATTCTCAATTTTAAATGAAACAAATTACCTATTTGTGATTCACGCAGTGACTGAATATTGGTTCAAAGCCATAATCACATACAATCTTGAAATAGCATTATCTTGTTTAACTTCAGAGTAAGTATCGACAGTTTACTGTAAACCAATATCAATAAAACTACCGATAAAGACAATATTAAAGGTACGTTGTTTTATTTTTTTTTTATTTTCTTTCCTTTCGTTTCACCGACGTATACCAATTCGCAAAGGTTACACTCTAATCCGTATACAACATTTGTCAATTCACAATTCAGTAGGTGTCTGTTATACTTTGATTTTGTTTCGATCATAACACGTTCTAAACCAACACTGACAAATGACTGATGAAGCATTAAAATTGTAAAAGGTTTATGCAAAAGAATTAAATCGTTTTTATGTAAACTGTTCTAGGTGTTAACTAGACAGCAAACCAACATCACAATGCAAAAAAGACATTACGATTATGACGTGCAGTTTCCATTAATATTTAAAAAAGGCAAGACATTTATCGTAAATACTTGTGACTAAATGGATAGAAGAGCTTATCAACTGAAGATACATACACTTAGTCCTGAATAAAAATCAATATTTCAAATTGTAAAATCGCTAGATCGGTACTTCTTGTTTTAGTTAGTGCAAACACATTTTGAAAATGTTGAAAAAAAACAACATTGCTGCGGAAAAGAAATTATATAATACCATAATGATAATTTTCATTTTATTTTACAAGTTCTACATTAAAAGTAACATCATTTCCGTGAGTCTGTTGCTTCGAGTTTTCTAGTACTTGTAAGTTATGGATGCCGGAACTCACTTTCCGTATCAGAATATGCATTGTCCGTAGGAACATTTATGTCTGTAGCAGCACGGATTTAAGGAACTGCAAGGTCTTCCAGTACATTCTTTAGGACTTCTTTTGACAAGCCTAAACCAGGGCAACAGGAGAAATATATATTGTTGAAAACATTATTATCAGACATTGTTTTTATTGATGATTTCGATGTATATCTGAACATTCGTTGTAGATCACTTGGATTAGGAATGACTATTTAACCAATTGACACAACAACCCATAATATTTTACAATACAAGCCCTTATAACAGTATTTGATGTTCAATTAGAACAATTATAAACGTCATAGAACATTTTTAGACTTCAGTATGTAGCAACTGACATGAGTTTAATTTATGATGGGTGCTAGCTGGATGATGAAATAATTGTTAAATTAGCTACTGCTTTTCATAGGAGGAGGAAAATACATACAACTAATTAGAAAAGTATGAACATATGATCAATACATGTTTTGATAAACCATTTTTACGTACCTGCAGGCTAAATATATGTTTTCCCATTTATATCATTAATCTCATGTAAAGTGTATGCATTTTATTTGAATTCTTCTGCAAAAATAGACCTTAATCAAATTGAAACTGGAACGAATAAACTACTAGGAGCACAGTTTCAACTTACTTCTCAAGAAGTCCATCGTCTTCCAGCATTTCTTCATTAGCCATGCTGACTGAAAATGTTTTAAATGAACAAAAATATTAATAAACGACTATTGATTGTTTCAATACTAATTTGTCAATTTTCATTTACAATCAGCGAATAAAATTTTAAGGTAACGTTTACTATTGGTATCGAGTCTACGTTATTAAGTTTCTTCCTTTGGTATCTAAATATGTCTTCTATTGTACAATTCTGTAATGAATCGCAATTTGGATATAAATTAAGAAACAATGTTTCCCTCATAACAATTTAACCACCCCAACCTACAAAAAAAAAAAAACAAAAAAAAAAACAGGACGTCATACATGTATCTCCTGTAACAAAGTGCTGGTGTAATATATATTTAACCTGTTTATTTGAAATTATAATGACTTTCTCCTTTTGAACAATTAAGCATTTTCAACACAGGGTTTTTTGCATCTTAATTTCCAACAATAATTTTGCTCATTGTTGCAGTACGATGACCTGTTGCTTTTATCGCTATTTTGTTTAGTGTTTGATGGATATTTGCTTCCCTGGCATCCAATTACGCCATATCCATATTTGTATATAACATATATCTATATATACTTATATATAATGTAATAAGGATTCTCAATCGACTTTTGGTCTGCGTAATACATCTACAGCAATGCATAGCCTTTCGACCCTAATGTTGTGAGTTCATGTCAAGGTTTGTTCTATTTCTAATATGACTATGATTGCAATTATTATTCGGCCGATGGTCTGTGGTTCACTCTTTGTCTTTTGGTATCTTCAACTATTTTAATTCGAGCGTCCCTGGTGTGTCTATTGGGGACGAAACGAGCATCTAGCGTAAAACCTTTAATCCTGGTATCTATGATTAGTTTATTTGCACTTTGACCTCCTCTGCAAACACCAAAATTACCGCCATTTAACACAAACAATCAATCAACCAATCATTATGTCATTAGAATAACTGTACTTTAGTGGAATCATACAGGCCATCAACTATTGCTTTACAAACTTTTCAAATCAATTGGTATTTGTGCAAATCTATAAAAAAAAATACTAATTGAAATTATCTGTTTATTGAAGTCTTCTTCTCATTTTCTTACCTTCAGCAAACACCAACAGCAGAGAGACAATTAAAAAAACTGAAACCTTCATTCTTCTATATAACTCTTTTCCAGAAACTACAAAAATGTACAAAAGATATTAATAATTTGCATGAAAAAAATCCAATTATTTGGATACACAAGTTTTAATTTTTGAAATACATATGTCGATTGCAACGACTGTACATAAGGTTAAAATATTATGTTTGGAAATTGTGAAAGGTGGCTTGTATAGTGTTTTCTTAAACAATGTAGCCATCTTTGTCGACCCTTAATTTGTATTTTCTTAGTTTGCTTTCGTTAGAAATTCATTTCCTATTTTCAAAGACTTTTAAATATTTTAGTAAACAGATCTTAAACATGAAACTATAGACATGCTGGACTGAATTCTCTGAAAAAAGACCCCTCAAAAACAATTCCTCTAAAATTCCACAGAAGATAAACTTATTACTTTTTTACATTTCTTACGTTCGTATTGACAACATGGTACACTGGGAAGGTTGCAGCTAGGTCAGCTTAACTGTTAAACTAGGTTGACGGATAATTTGAAGTGACATTTGGAATATTCTGATAGATGCCTTTAAGTACTTCCAATAAATTATTTGCGAAAAATACAAAAAAGAGAGAAAAAAGATACCAAAGGGACATTTAACTTTATAAGTCGAAAATAAACTGACAACGCGATGGCAAAAAAAAAAGAAACAACAAAAAAACCAAAAGCATAGAAAACGAAATACTGAGCAACATGTTAATCAGCAAACACCGGGTGGGATAGGAGGGAGCGAATTTGGATGCTCCGGAAGGGATAGCAAATCCTGCTCTACATATTAAACCTCTCCTGTTACTTTTAAATGTCCTATTGAATAGGTTGAAAAGCGCTATCAAGTGCATTGCACAATACAGAATTGGTAGTCGACTCTAACCCTAAGACATTAAGATATTTTGGTCATGTAAATGTGTGTACCGTGAAACGCAAATAATTGTTCAAAAAATAGAAGAGCACTTACGACCAATATTTCTAAAAACGTTGCGGAAAATATGCGGTGACCATCTATCCATCGAGGAAGAAAACCCTTTGTTCTCCAAAATAATTAAAAGTTTTATCCGTAAAAATATAGACAAAAACGGAGGAATGACGGCAGGGGAATTGATTCTGTCGGAGAAGAAACAACACCATGCAACACTAACATCGAGTGAATGGTTATGAAAACTCAAGAAATGTACATTATAACGTGCTAAATAAATAAATCAGACGCTAAAAAAGAAATAATCATTTGCGCACGAATAAAAATAGTTGAAAGTGCAAACAAATGACAAAAAAATGTTGAAACTAGAACAATTCTTATGACATTTTATCATAACTGTTTTATTGAGATATGTTTTTTTCTTAATATTTTTACACCGTAAATATAAAGATAAATGTGTAGGTCACTTAGCACATTCGGCACGAATCGCAAGATTACTTCTTTACAGCGAATATGACTCGTAAATTCAATGACTTAAAAACAGCGTACACAAATCCTATGCAACCGTTACTGTGCTAAACCTTTTCTGGCTTGGAGCTTTTATACGCAAATATTCCGCAGACAATTAACAAATTAAACGTATCCTGCTCTTTGGTATCACATCCTTTCACGGTTAATGTCATTCGTGTTCAAACAAGGTAATGTCACCACTTCGGTGTTAACATGTATATTATTTATATGGTCATTTTTATATTTTATAAATTTACTGTTTGCAAAAATATGAATAATTCTAAATACTAAATATTTTCTTATCCCAGGCAGATAACCTAGCCGTATTTGGCACAACTTTTTGGAATTTTGGGTCATCAATGTTCTTCATCTTTAGGCACGGTACCTTTTAGCTTGTCGTATTGTTCTATTGTATTGTTTATTTGTGTGTTTCTCTGTCCTGTATGTTCTTCCATTTATTTGTATTGTAGTCTTGTCATGTAATGTTGTCATTTTAGTGTTATATTTAGCATTGCCATTAAAGCAGGGGGTCTGGCTAGCCACAAACCAGGTTCAACCTACCATTTTTGTCTTAAAATGTCCTGTACCAAGTCAGAAAAATGGCTATTGTTATCTCATAGTTCGTTTCTCTGTGTATTGCATTTCAGTGTTTCTGTTGTGTCATTGTTCTCCTCTTATTGTTGATGTGTTTCCCTCAGTTTTAGTTTGTAATCCGGATTTATGAATTTCAAACAACTACTGTTGCCTTTATTTGCGGATTTAAATTGTCTTTGTTTAAAAAAAAGATAGTTCTTACAATTAATGAATGTACTTCTTATATGTATCTTAACCTTGTTGACGACAATTTATCTTAATATTTCAGAAATACAAAATGATTGATCCTTAAGCCAACAACATGTACATATATAAAACCCGAAACATAAAAGTTTGCAAAGAAATAATTGTTTAAGTCAAACATCGAAACAAGAATAAAATTAATGTAAAGTGCAAATTACCAGTACAATTCCCCAATCTAAAGCAATATTGTCCAGACGAAATTTTAATATCCAAATCTGGACTTCGAGTCTTTAGCACAAGAAAACCGATCACCTCGAAAACTCTAGGGCAATTCCTAGGTAAATATATATCGCTAAAGATAGAAAAGGGAAGTACACGAGCCATAAATGTTACAGTACTTACGTAATGTTAACTGTATGGAAATCTTTTGAAAGATATTTCTGTTATTTTCTACCTTTTATACACAAGAGCTTAAAAACTTCGACAGCAATTTATCAGAGTATCATGTTTGCGGTTGTATGTTCCTTCACAAAAAATTGTGTAATACGCGACTCACATAATTTGTGACTAATGAACATTCATTTATCCTTCGTTTTGCGCTACTTTGTTAAGCAAATAATTTGAACAATTAATAATACCTGTTAAATTATAAACATATTAAGATATAAATGGAAACGACAAATCCAGTAATAATTGAAGGTGAAATTGTGTGTAAGTGTATTAAACAGTTGAAATATAGTAAACGTATATGTGACAATGACAAAGTGTAATTTCAAAATCGTAAATTGACCTGTCCACTGCAATTAATCACAGTAATACACCGTATAATTAAAAACAAGGTACATACATACAATTAATGAATATTTTAACGTTGATGGGTGACATTTAAATTATTTTCGTCCACGAAACTACAGTAAAAATCGGTTAAAACTTTTCTGAACTATCAGTATATTTGTTAAACCGCCAAAACCCGTTTTCAGATAAAACAATCTGCATAATATCTAGGTTATATATGTCAGAATATGCATAAGGATGGAAAAGTCATTATCTGTTCTTGACAGATCAGTTATAATGAACGTTAATTATGCATTGTTAAGAACAGGTGTAGGAAGAAGATAGAGGAAATCTGAGGCAGTCAACTATAGTTTCCATGTACGAATCTTTGTTTATAAAAAGATATAATAGTAAATGTCTTTGTCTTTTCTTGCTTTTTATACAAAATGCGTTTGAGCTGTTTATATTATTTCTCAAACTAAACATATATATTATCATATTGCAGTATGTTTGATCAAAAACAAAAGTTTTCGCACAGAAGAACAGTTTAATAGTTCAAACACGACTTGAAAATGTTATATACATCTAAGTAACCTGAACACAAACAAAACGAACATCAACAAAAGGACAAAGTATAGTCTACAACCCTCAAAATAGAAAAGTAATGACTGAACAACACGAACCCAATTTAAAAACAAGGGGTATTTTCAGGTTATCAGGACCTGTAAGAAGTTTCTGCTCCACATGTGGCGCCGCCCGTTTCTTCATGTTAGTATAAATTTGGTGATGAGTCTCATTCGTCTATGACACGTTAAAAAAAATAGGTATTATACTCACGACAATTGGAACATATCCGTCGTCATTTGTTAAACAGATGATCCATAAGGGTCTACCACATCTTAGTTGTATCCATTAATATTTTGAAACGGTTTGTAATTAGAATCGCAAATGATTTTCTTTAACACAATTCTGAATACGAACGGTTATATTCCATATCAAATGTGTAGCTATATAATTTTTGCAGTGTTTTATTTGCTACATCATTCAATATCTATATAGTGTGTAAAAACTAACTGCATGTTGTTTGTATAATGTATACTCATGCATGTGTATAACATGTACAGTTCACGTAAAGTCATATCAGAGTTTTGCAATAACATGACATAACTCGACATAACCAACCTATCTGACCGTATCTCGGCCTATTGCATAGAAGGATGACGGAGGGGAGCATAGACTGCATGAATATTTGGCTCGTTGAATACACATACTTTGTTAGAATAGATGCTATTTAACAAACTACTATTTTAATTCTTTACATATTTTGTTATTAAATTTGGAATGATTTCATTGACAACAACCTTTAAAGGGAATAACTAATTCAGTTACCGGTAATCAAATGCACCGATCATTACTTCGTCATTTCACTTGACCCATATATTTATCTCTCAAACGATGAATTTTTAAAGCTACTAAATCAAAATTAGGTTTGAGAAAATAAAAATAATGGAATCTGAAGCGAGATCATATTTTAATATATGATTTAAAAGTTATAAGATTAAACAAGAGTTTCAATCACGCCGAAATGTCAAAAGGTGTACACGACTTGCTTCTTCTTTTTTTTTATAGCATACTTCTATAAATTTATTTCAAGATACTTTTGTCAAAGGTAAAAATTCAGATCACTGATGCATCTTTCTGATAGTACTTTGTCACCTTTCCGTAGAATTTTATTAAATGGAATTTATGAGGACGCATTTTCAAGAAAAAAATATGATTACACTTTACTGAATCAGTTGATTTTTTTTATATCTTATTTTTAATTATAATGATGCATAGATTCTGGGAAGAGACCGTACAAACGTATGCGCAGTTAACGTCATTGCTCTTAAATTGTTTTTCTAAAATGTTTGGCGTTTAACTTGTTCAAATATATATGGAAAACGGACATGTACGGAATATTTGATTGAAGTTTTGTTAAGTAGAATGATCATTTTAGATTTATGACCAAATTGTGATAGCAAGGGGATATCATATTTACTGGTCTGTGCATCCGTCCGTTCGTCGGTCCTGTTCAAAATATAAAACGTTTAAAATTATATACCAAATTATAAAGTTTGTCCCGGATTAAGTGGTGCACTGGACATATTAATATGATCATGTAAAGGGGCACGGTGTCTTAAGGCCACATATTCTTGTTTTAAATGTTTTGATTAATACACGTACATGTATATGTATTGTCCATATTCATAACTCTCTATTTGGTCGCTCACTCGCCTTGACAGTAACCCCTCAAAGGTGATCAGGAGAATAGAAATATGGTCACTATTGGTCTTGTGCCGATCGGCAGTTAAACCATTGCCAAAGTGGGGAGTCCGTTTGGTTGTGCGGGATGTACATGCACGCAGCCCGGTCCGATCAAATTGGGGACGTTAAATCCGATGCCTCTTGTAGAGGGAATGCCACGCATGAAATATTTACCACTGGACTTTAAGCAACCAACTATCAATCAATCGACGGTAGCGTAACTTGAATTTTATTTCTGTTGAGGCAAATATTTTGCATCTTTGCAGTCAAAGCTTCACCTTGATTAAAAGACGTCAATGTCAATAGGGATTAGACGGTTAATTGAAAATATGAATCGCAAAATAGGTGTAGGTGATCATACTCTTGATAGGTCACACACTGGCAAAAAGATCCTGTCTATGAAAAATCCAGATTTGTGGAATTTTATCATAAAATAATATTTCTAGTGCGCATTGAATCAATATATTTCAATGAAACTGCTGGTCAAAGGTTTAATTCTCAGTATTCAGTTACAGACATGTCCTGATCAAAACAAAAATAATTGACAGAATTATATGTATGACCTCCTCTAAATTGCTTTTGTACAGATTTGGAGATATTAAATTAAAGATCCACTATGTCTTTTAACTTTATACGTTTAGCTGTTGTCAAAATGTTTAGATGATAACAACTGGGTGAACCATGAAGTCTTGCTTATGTTAACCAAGGTAGGAGAGTAGTATATTAAATATAGGAATGCCAAGTGTCTGTTGAAAACTTTGTCCACTAAAAGTAACAAATTCGTTGTAAATAAAAAAATCAAGCATCATATCAGTTTCACAGTTATGACTCTTGTTTGAATCAGTTTTTTGCGAGGTATACGTTGTCTGTTACTTAAAAAAGATATTTGCATCTACCTTGTTCATTTTATGAAAGGAAGTTTTCAAGACGTTAATAAGGAGGAATGAGTGAGTAAAGAGTAAATCAGTCAAGGGTTTGAAACGTCGTCACTCAGTATACTTTATACTATGACGTACAGGGTATACACATCTCTTTATCTCTCTTTTTTAATGGTAAAAAATTTGGTGAGTCGGTTGCCTCATTGCGTCAATGAAAGCTACACCACTGCTCGAGTTCGGAAATTCTTGGGCTCGATCCTCGCACGTCTCAAATTGAAGATTGGCTGCCTCTCTGCCAAGCACGAAATATTTAGGAGTTAAAGCAAAGATTGGTCGGTTCGAGGTCAAAAGCATGTGTCTTCCTGCGGTATAATACAAAGTCTGGTTTATATTTATCTGCTCGTCCTAAATATGCATATGTAAATAGAAATGAAAGATTTCTATCATTTTGCGTCATGATAAAATTATTTTATATGGACGAAAATTCCAGTGTGTGTTTTTAAAAGTCTAGGAATACTTTGTTTAAACTTGAGCGATGTATCTTATCAAATCCAATGGTTGGCAATAACCAGTCCCATTAGGTCTGTACGTCGGGTTACGTACGTATGTCATTTTATTGGAAATCTCTATCAGAATTTGACCTACCGAATTAGATTTCTCACCGGGTTGGTACTTACATGAGCAACATGACGGATGCCACATTTGTAGCAGGATCTGTTTACCTATCGGGAGCACCTTAGATCACCCCGCCCCTTTCCCCCTAAGTTTTGAATGAGGTTCGTGTTCCTCAGGTTTTCAAAGTTGTATTGTTTAGCCAGGCGTTGCAGTTTATTTTCTACTTTGAACGTCCTTTTAGTATCTTTCCCCTCTCCTTTGCTATAGGTGTCTCAATTCGACAAGATGTGTTATTACTTGTGGAATGCCTGCTAGTCGGTCCCAAATCAATCTCTATCTGCTTGATGAAATTTTTACTTCATCTGTACAGATGTTTTAGTATTTGGAGAGATTAGATATGTAAAATAATGAATTGTTTTTAATAAAGAAAACGTTTTAATACAGTTTTCAGTAAGTGTAAAATAAAAATAATTAAGATCACGCAATGGTTCAATCTATGTTGAAATGCTAGAAAGTTGTTATGTTATCAATTGAGTTAGCTATTGTGTGCTTAACATATTGTTTGGCGATTAGTAGATTGAGTTTGTTTTCTTACAAAGTGCATTACAACATGTTAGACAAACAAATAAAGTTACTAGTTACATTTCAATTATATATATATTTTTACTAAGCCCAACATTTAAAAGTAAAAAGATTTCTGCAGGTTGTTGCCTGACAGTGAATGAATTGGTCCCCAACGGTCTTAAGGCGCATCCAAATCTTGTAAGAACAGTCATGATCTAGACAACAGTCACGAGTATTTCTACAACATATCCCAGCAGAATTGTTGCACCTTCCTCCATCGCAGACTGCACCATTACAACCCTTTAAGGCTTTAAGATGTACAAAATTCAAACCCAAATGGTTCAGTTTTTTTTATAAGGCTTGTGTTTAAGATTGTTAGAATTGTATATAATAGTAATTGCTGGAC